GGCTCTAGGGGTTTCAAGTGCCCTTTCTTGATCAAAACCCCCAAAGCTTTGGATAGGGGCATGTCTAGTGGGGTAAAGGTTCTTTGGCCTCTGGGGGCATATTTAGCTGCCTGCAAGCTACTTCTGGATATACCGGGAAAGGGTGTAGCTGCAAGGGTTTTGGGAGGGGTGGTGGTGACCATTCCCACATCTGAAGCTCTGGCAGCTGCAGCACTGCTTGTGCCTGCATTTGTACCGCGGTTGAATGCCCTCTTGGGCTACTCTCTCTCATTATCAATGAGGCCTTGTTTCATGCCATCCTCTATTTGCACCCCAATCTCATGTAGATCTGCAAAGGTGGGTAGGGGGAGGACGATCATCTTCTGCATGAGCTTGGGCTGGAGGTTGCGCACAACCATCCGAATATGATCTTTGTCCATAGGCCTGATGGTCATCATCGAGGCTTTAGCCGTCCAGCCAGTCACGAAGTCGGAGAAGCTCTCCTTCGGTTCTTGCCTAGTAGTCTCGAGATCGCAAGTTGTGACCTTGATCTGTGTATTATAGGAATATTGAGCTATGAAGGCCTCAACCATCTCCTTCCAACTCCTCTTAACGGAGTCTTCCAATTTTGCATACCAAATGGCCGCTACACCCGACAGGGTCCGGCTGAACAAAGAAAGCTTCTGCAATCTGGAAAGGCCCATCGGCCTAAGGATATCTGAAAACAACCGCAGGTGCACCATGGGATCCCCAGACCCATCAAAGCGGTCGATGTGTGACATTTTAAACCGATCTGGCAGCGTCACGGCCGAGTCGGTATACCCATCCTCTATATTTGGAATGGATTTCACACCTTGAGACTTCTTGAAAAGCTTTTCTAGCTTGCTTACTTTTAACGCCGTTGGATCTACCTCAAACTCAAACGGCGAATCCACTAGGTTGGTGGGTGTTTTAGATAGCTGGGGTAGGACTAGGGCCGGAGCTGGCCCTGTCGGAACGTCCGTATTTTCCTGGACATTTGGTGTCTCCCTGAGTATTGGAACTCTGGATGAGGGAGGAGGTGTGTGCGAAGCAGATGCTCCAGTTTGCTACTGTAGTCTGGCAATTAAATCTGCCTGTTGGGTTACTACCTCAGCTTGACGTGCAGATACTTCTGCCTGACGGGCAACATCCTGCTGCATGGTTTTCATACTTTCCTGGAGCTGATGCATCGTCTCTTCCAAACCTGCCATATTGTCTGGATTGGACTGGACAATTGGTATATCTAACTCTGTAGTAGGAACTGAGACCTCAGCCTGACTGTTCAAAAACCACTGATCTGACAACCTCTGTACTGATACGTTGCGCCTTCTTGACCTCCGCTTAGCAACCGGGGTTAAAGAAAGAAACACTATTTATCCGTCTATCAAATCCCTGGATCGATTAAATATTTGACCTCTAACCCAAAGTGCTCGGGGAATATCTGCCTGGTCAGATACAATTGTGCTAAACTACCTTGCAGAAAGATAAATAAAACATAATAAATAAATAAACGACCAGAAAAACGGACAGCATAACGGCTTTAAATAAACACAACACACAGTTGATATTTGCGAGCTGACGCACACTGTTCTCAAACACTGATCGTTGTTGCCCAAATAGCTGCCCCAAAACTGAATCTGATACTCGTAGATATAACTGATTCTCAAAATACTGATGCCCTCAGGCTTGATACCACTACTAAAAAAAACATTTTTTGCGACCACTATAAACCGTCGCAAATAATAAAAAACAGTCGTAAAAGGCTTTTTGCGACGGTCCATGCGACGGCAAATGGGGGTCGCGAATATTGGGGTGGCAAATACTTTTTGCGACGGTAAAGCAACGGTCGCAAATTATTTGCGACCACCTAAACTGCTTATGGCGATCGCTATTTTGCCGTCGCAAAAAACAAAGAAAAACACTAACATGATCTTTGGCGACCATCTTGTTACCGTCGTAAAAAATTAAAAATAAAAATAAAAATAAAAATAAATAAATAAAAGTGTAGCGTTAAGCACTCTAGGAATAACAATGACAAGAATTCAGACAGTATAGCATTATAGTTTTATTGAACATTCTATTTGAGTCTCAAAATTTGAGCCATATGTAAAAGTTATTACAACTAAAAACTTGGAAAAAGTTCTTTTATGAAAAAAATACAATCCAGAACTGGCCAATCTTCTCATCAATTTTCTTGCTCGTGTGTTTCTCCACTCTATCAATGAACTGGCATAACACCTTGTACTCCCCAGTGCAAGAAATGAAAGCAATATGACGAGGGGAAAAGCTCCTTCATTTACATGCATTTGTTCTCCATTCCATAGTAAAAAAGAAATACTTAAATCTTGATATGTCTCTCATATTCACTTATTCTTTACATTGACTAGAAAAGGCATCCAAGAGTTTTTCAATCTTGAGCCGATTGATAGAAAGGGACCACCAACATATTATCAGTAGAAGACATAAGAAACTAATTGATGCACCTTCACTTTCTCATCTCGAATATGCTCAGGTGTAAGAGAAATAGGCTTCTCCATAGCAATTAGGCAAAGAATCTGCAGTTGGCAAGAATATATGTCTGTTACATCTTAAAGAAAAATGATAAACAAATTGGAGGGACTGTTGTGAATAAATTTATATATCTATCATTTTAATATTATCTACTCTAACTTGATTTCATGGCCTCACCTGCAATAGATGATTTTGAATAATATCACGAATGATTCTGCAAAAAGAAATGATAAATAGATTTAATAATGCCAGGCTAGTTACCAATTCTCAGAAATATGAAGAACGGGGAAAATTTTTAGCATAAGCTTTTCCAAGTAAAATTACATCTACTTGTTTACAAATTGCAAATTGGAAAACGAAAACAAAACAGTGCAGAATACAGTTTGGTCTAAGATTTTTATATTAAAACAAAGAAGAAAACTGTTAACAGATGGTAAAACCATGACTTTTAGAAACTAAGTCCTAATCCGTGAACAAATCTTGCAACAAATGAATTATGACCTTCCATGGGATTCTCAAAGAAGAAAAATGTTAACAGCTGGTAAAACCATGACTTTTAGAAACTAAGTCTTAATCCGTGAACAAATCTTGCAACAAAAGAATTATGACCTTCCACAGGATTCTCAATTTCTAGGTCCTAATCAATAGACAAATCTTACAGAAAAAGATGTGAGGTTCCACTTGACATGCCCATATTCATCAAAATATCCACCCCGACCCTCAGTTCCAAAATCCTCCCTAAACACAATCTACAAGAAGAACAAGAAAATAAAAAATAGGAAAAATAGGAACAACAAGGGAAAAGAAAAAGATTAACATTCAGGCTTGTAGCATATACGTTGGTACTACCCTTTAAGCAGGACAATCACAAAAGGGGAATAATATGGCAAATCTCTCTGCAGCTACTCCACAGGTCTGCTTAACCTTACCAGTAATGCTTTTACTTGATTGTGAGAATTTATATAAATGCATATCATATACACTTAAATTGTCCTAGAATAAGCTTATCATTGAACCAAAAAACACCTTACACAGTTTATTCAAAAAAAAAAAAAAAAAAAAAAAGAAAAAAAAAGGAAAAAATGAGGAAAAAAAAAAAAAAAAAAAAAAAAAAAGTAGTGGAATAAACAGAAAAATAAGCAAGCCTTGAATAATTTTGGAAAAAAACAACTCTTGGACAAATTTAGACACATATATTACCAAGTTTTCCACCAATTCCTTTCCCAAATAATGATCAATACGATAAATCTGTTGTTCATCAAATAACTCTCCAATATGTGCACTCAGTTGCTCAGACGAGTCCAAATCCTTGCCAAATGGCTTCTCAACAACAATTCGAGTCCATCCACCTAGATCAGCTAGAAAGGATTACATTAAAGTGTTCATGAAGATTAATACTTCGAGGTTCCATATAAAAAGGATTATAACTCCAGTCTTATCTCATTCGTATTTTGAATAAGATTCCAGCATAACAAAGAAAAAAATTGTGATATAAATTAAAATTCCATTGTGTGACATATACAAACCTGTACTCAGATAATTATAACTACTCATTAAAATATATGGATCAAGACAATGATTGTCTGGACTCATTCCACAGCAAATGATATATCCTTTATGCATATGCATGTTGCTTGCTTTCTAGGTAAATGATGAATCATATCTTAGCTTGAGTGGTATCTCCTGTCACCTCCAAAGCAGGATGGACAAGGTTCAAGTTCCGATAGGACACATGTCTTACCCATTTACTAGATAAATCAGTATATAATCATGCATACCCTTTATACATGTCACTTTGTTCAGATCTTGCCATATCTATTTCTATCCCAAGAAAAAAAACCCATTCTCAAAATAGATACAAATTTACTGATACTTGAACAATATAAGGGATCCAGATTGAACAAACAGCACACACACACACATATAATAGAGAGAGAGAGAGAGAGAGAGAGAGAGAGAGAGATTACCTAGAGATTGGACCTGATAAGAGAGGAAAAGAATGGAATGTACAAGGACAAGGAGAAGAAGATGATGTCCCTGAAGAAAACCCATTTGCAATTGAATCAGATTACAGTCTGAAGAAAACCCATTTGTAGTACCAGATCTGGTCCATATGAAATGCTCTAGGGATAAATTTCAGACCTAATACGACATAATACATGGGGAAATATAGTGATATCCTTCAATAACTCCATACACAGCAAATATCATAAATACATGCAGAAATATAGTAGAGCGGCATACCTATTCATTTTCTTTTGAAGCTTGTTGCCCACTAGATGCATCTGACACCTACAATATGTTAGTATAATGTGTTAATAATTTCCATATGTATATATACAAATTGATAAAACGTAAAATTCGTTAATTTGTAAGTATTGCACCTCTCTCAAGCTCATACTCCCAGCCACACCCTGTGACTCTAAGAACAAAACACGTGTCGTTAGGTTCTTGATCGTCGTAGTGAACCTAGACTCAACGTCTTGTGTCACACGCTGTGTGATCTCATCAATCAATGAAGGGGCTGCTAATGATTGGGATGGACCGCTGCCTCACTCATACACCGCACTCCAAGGCACTCCTCTTCCATAGGTCTTGCAATAACCATGTCCATCCTTCCCGACGATTTTATGATAAATCCCATCGCAATACTCAATCGTATGTTGCTCCTTAGGAACTTTCCAAAGATGCACATTATATTCCTCCTACATTTTGAAAACATAAGGACAATGTTTGGTAAAAACAAAAAATGTGTAAAAACATTTAAACCATAGACATACCACAATTGCCACCACATCAGGATCATTCAGGTTGTGTGCCCTCTTCCAGAGACTCATCTTATCTATCCACTCTCCTCTATGTGTCATCTGCAATTTTTTTCAAGTTAGGAGCTGAAGTTTTCACAACATAATAAGTCAAAAGTGCAGCACTAGGTACAGCCACAACTGCAGCCACAAGTGTCACACCAAGTGCACTAGGTGTGGCTACAGCCGCAGCACCAAATGCAGTCTCAGATGATGCTTTAGGTGCAGCCACAAGATCAATTTCCGGTCGTATGTGGAGGCCCATGAAATCCCCGATTAAAAGAATTCTTCTTAGCAATCGCCTATGACATTGGTTAGAATATCAAACATTAGTTATTTATCATTAAAACATTAATTAAAATTTTATAAAGAATACATATACCTGCACTTCTTTACTCGCCCAATATTGCACAAGTTTCCTCCACTGGGTTGGCACTATGTTACTAGGTACTCTAGAAGCAATGTCCGGATCATTCTTAAATGGAACCCAATACTTAGACTTTGTCTTGCTTTTATGATCTTTCCACGATGTCCTACAAAGTCGCATACAAACCTCCTTGAATTTATCTGGACAGTATACCAAGTTGTCCTACAAAGCACAAATTGAAAGCCAATTTCATCCTCATAATTATAGAGCATACACAAATGCACAAGCAAGCTAATAACTAATAACTAAACACAATTAACAAGAAATTAGAAATCAAATAACTAATAACTAATAACTTGAAAAAATTCAAAAATCTAAGCATAAACCCTAAACGTAATTAGCAAAAGGGAAAACTATATACCTTCACCTCCTGCCAAATATTCTCTTTTATATCAACATGCATCACATTCCAACTGAGATATGTAAGTGGGACTCTATGCCCGTTGCGCACGATCAACCCCAATTGTCCCTTCAACTTTTTGCCATCATCCTCCACCGGCTGAAACTTATCATCAAATTTTACTTGGATCTTAGTGCCTGTACCCCATTCCTTTATCCATCGGGCGAATCCTCGACCTCGTCGTGTTAAGGTAGTTGATATTGTATGTGGAGATGAAATAGATGAAGAAGATGGTCCATCCATAGTGCGAGGTAGTGAAGGACTTGCCCGTACACGTACAGCCTCATCTATAGTGCAAGGGGCCTTAAAGGTCTTCCTCTTTTGCTTCATCCTAAAATGAAAGAAATAAGAAAAGGTTAATACACAAGAAATATGGATATCAATTTACTAATAATATAACACAAGATATAAATATAAACAACTAATACAAATCAGTTTCAAAACAAATAGAACTTCATCAGTAAAGTTTACCTCGAAACATATGGAGAAGATGGTCCATCAATAGTGCAAGGTAGCGAGGGACTTGCCCGCACACGTAAAGCCTCATCTATAATGCAAGGGGCCTTAAAGGTCTTCCTCTTCCGCTTCATCCTAAAATGAAAGAAATATGGAAAGGTTAATACACAAGAAATATGGATATCAATTTACTTATAATATAACACAAGATACCTATTAGCATCCTCGGTCATCTTTCCAACAATTCTTCTTTTGGGCGATATTGATAACTGTCAAGAGTGCAAGTTAAATTCAAAACCAATTTAATACATGAAAAATAGCATCAACTAACAAGATAAATTCATAAAAAAAACTCCTGCGAATACTGACTAGAGAGGCAACATCAACTCCAATTTCATCTAGGACATGTCAAGTAAATAAATAAATAAATAAATAAACCAATAGAAGAACAAGAAAAACATAAACCAATAGAAGAACAAGAAAAATTAAGCAATGAACCTGGTTGGTCAGCTCTTAAGTTTCCTCTTCAGTCTGCTTAGCTGGGGACATTTACTATAAGCAAGCTTGTAATTTTGTTATTTGTTGCCTAAGCTTGATTAGCTGACATACTGAAATTTTAGTTGCCGCCTGCAGAATGCAGATACAAATAAAAATAAGAAGATAAATCTGAATATAAAAACAAGAAAGAGAAATACGTCCCAAAATGTACCTCATTTCCTGTTTTAGCAGTTCTCTTTATCTCCGTAACAAGCTTCTTTTCCTATATCAACAAATAATTTATAATTAGATCAAACACTAAAAACTTGCAACATAAACATTACATATAAACTCTTTAACATACTTTCAATTGCAAGGTGGTGATTTCCCTCTCAATTGCATTGGCCATTTCAAAGAACAGAGATCCCTATGCAAGTCCACAACGATGTCTCCTAAGCCTTCACACGAAAACGAAACCCATTGATAATGTAACCATTGAACCGCCTAGCCAAAGTATGAGGACCATCTGCTAATCTATTGATTTCTTCAGTAAATGTAATATTACTTGTCCTTCGCAAGGTCTGAACCTATTAAAAAAACAAATATAAATTCAACTTCAACTCCAACTCAAAATTTATGTATATTTAGATATGTGAAATGAAATGTCTAAATACATACATGGTCCTTAAACCAAGTGTAGAATGTTTCGAAATGCTCAGATTGAATTTGATGATCGCTTGCACGTGGCATTTTGCTCTTAATGACTTCAAGGTGTTTGCTGTGTAAATTGGAAGAGAATAGTAAATATCATATAGATTTCACTTTAGAATTTTACAATACTAGGAAAGTGATAAATTACCTTATGAACGGTGCAACTGAACTTGTGTTGAACAACACATATCGGTGACACTGTTGTAATTCATTATCATTAAGATAAAATGTTGTACTTTCGCCTACAGCTCGACCCATGTTGTTATCACCTTCATTGTTTCTCCTCGGTCGATTAGATTTGGTTTCCACATCAAGGAGATAGCGAGAACAAAAGTTCATGCATTCTTCCATCAAATACCCCTTAGCTATTGAGCCCTCCGGATGAGCTCGATTACGCACATATTGTTTCAATGTAAGAAGAAACCTTTCAATCGGGTACATCCATCGAAACTGTATTGCTCCAGCAATCAAAGCTTCATCAGCAAGATGTATAGGCAAGTGTTCCATTATGTCAAAGAAAGATGGTGGAAAAAAAATTCCAAGATGACAAAGAGTTATTGTGATACGATCCTGAACATATTCCAAATCACTTGTACGATTCACTTTGGAGCACAATTGTCTAAAAAAAGTGCTCAACTCAATCAATGGTTCAATCACATTCTTAGGCAAGGACCTCCGTATAGCTAAAGGAATAAGTTGTTGCATCAAAATATGACTATCATGGCTCTTAAGACCCCAAATACTTCTATCTTGTAAGCGCACATGTCGCGAGATATTAGATGCATAACCGTCTGGTACTCTTACTTCCTTGAGTACTTTGAGAAACATCTCTTTCTCATCATTGATCATTGTGAATTGTGCAGGAGGTACATAAACTTTATTGAACCCTCTTGACTGCAAGTGCAATGGTTTTCTAATATTCATTTCTTGTATATCACGTCGACCATTCACATTATCTTTGGATTTTCCTCCAACTCCTAGTATTGTCCACAATATATTATCGCAGACATTTTTTTCTATGTGCATCACATCGAGATTGTGTCTTATTAAGTTGTGCTCCCAATACGGCAATTCATAGAATATACTTTTTTTCTTCCAATTATGGCTTTTTCTTCCGTTATTTTCCCTCTCTTCTTGTCTCCTGAACATTTCCTTAAGGTCATTCCTCTCGTACTGACTAAGGACACCTTCTGATTCCAACTGATGCAACATCTCAAATCCAGATAAAATTTGAGGTTTTAGTCTCCATTCTCGACTACCATCAAATGATACTTTATCCTTTCGAAATTTATGATTAACTGGTAAGAAACGACGATGA